TGTGTGTGTGTGTGTGTGTGTGTGTGTGTGTGTGTGTGTGCGTGTGTTCCTCTGGAGCAGGTCAATGTCAAAGGATCGTCGGCAACGGCCTCCTTATCTAGTTTTTTATCTGTGGCCGCCTTCCCGGGCCCTGACGTAAAGGGCTTGCTTGTCAAATGAATCAAAGTTTTAAGGGCTTTTTGCGGCAACAAATAACCTCATTACATTTTGTGGGGAGGATTGAGAGATGACTCCCGTCGACACCTTCCTGGTTAATAATTAAAAACACTGATGCTCTTGTCACTTTTCATAAATCAGGTTTTAACGCGGCCACTTTTGCGAGTGGCCGTGTCCCGTGTTGCGCGGGCGTGCGTGTGCGGCGGGAGGTGAGAAACTGCGGAGACGTGACTTACGAGGTGACCTCCACGGTGTGATGATGGATCGTTGTGTCTGCCCAAGTGTTTTGACGAGCTGCTTGACAGTTGGTTGCCACATGGACCACCTTAGCGAGTGCTAAATAAATAAAGCTGCTGTTATGTTCATCTTGTCGACGGGGTGGTCAAAATACAATTAGAACTGGAATTCAAATGGGACAGGAAATTGTATTCATTTCTTTCCGACTCACTGTTCACTTGATTTCGTAGCATTATCTATGTCAGGGTTTCAAACTCATTTTTTTGTAGCCAGCCACGTTTTAGTGACTGTTTCCCTTGGAGGGCCGTTCTGACTGAAACCAGAGAAAAGGCGTCAAGACGAACGGTTTATTCAACTGTTGTGCAAGTTAATGTCATGAGAGTTTTGGGAACAGGAAAATGCCTCCGAGAGATTTATTGCATTTGAGAATTTGAAATGTTTTCGTATCGTGTAAGTTGACTTTGCTTTCGTGGGCCACATAAAATGATGTGGCGGGCCAGATCTGGCCCCCGGGCCTGGAGTTTGATAACTTGATCGATTTATTACTTTTTGTTTTGTCTCATCTGGTTTCTTGTCAACTTTTAACTTCTCCAGAATGTCTTTTATCTTAAGCCACAGGTGTCAAACTCAAGGCCCGGGGGCCAGATCCGGCCCGCCATGTCATTTTATGTGGCCCGTGGAAGCAAATCAAGCGTGTCAACTTGCATGATGCTTGCTAAAATCGCTACCAAAATTGAAAAATTCTCATATATATAATAAATAACAGACATATTGTAAGCATTTTCCTGGAACCAAACCCCTCATTATAGTAACTTAAACAATACAGTAGTTGAATAAACCGTGATTGACTTGTTTATTTGGTTTCAGTCATAACGGCCCTCCAAGGGAAATGCTAACTAAAAGTGGCCCACGACAACAATGAGTTTGACACCCCTGTCTTAAGCTAATTCTCATCGCATACGGGTACTCTTTTGTTTTTCTGCATTTCCAAATGAAATGCAGTTTACCAGTGCTTTGCCACCGAAAGAAAAAAAAAAACCCAAAATCATTTCTCCGGAGCAATTTGCTGACTCGCCCAACGAATGCAGCCTCCATGTTTCTTCCTTGACTTGCTCTTATCACCAAGGACAGAAGAGGTAATGCACGCTGATATTCTTGACGCTTTTTGGGGCGCTGTTCATTGGTGCACCCCCCCCCCGTGCGCCTGTGTACGCCTTCGCCTGGCGAGACCTCGGGTAATAAATTGTTGACAACCTGCAGTAATTACTGATGTGTGCGCCGATAGCCCGAGCCTCCAAGTCCAAGGAGGATAAGGAGATGAAGCCGATAGTTTTCAATCTACCACTTTGTCATATATAATAACGAGACTGTTCCCTCACACATCAGCTCAGAAG